CGAAAAATGCTCCGACCGTTCTCTAAAAGAGATAATATAGAATTATTGGACTTTTAAAGAATTAAATTCGGCCCAGCCAAAGTCCCACAATTTTTTTAGACATATTTATCTTTTATTCATGTATTTATGACAGAATAGAACCACCTTAATAATAGTCAAGAAAAAAGTAAAGAGATTACCCATAGGCTATAACTGTCTATTTTAGAGTTTTAGACGGTTGTAATTCAGATAATACGATTACATATATATCATTGTTATTGTTTGTTTCTCGTAATATTATTATTACGTATTCTATTTTCGTACTATCGTACTTAATACACATTTTCGACGAAAAGCAAAGTAAATGTACGGTCTCTTTATCACGTACTAGATTAACCGATAATTATAATAATTATGACTGATTATATATACTTATCGTACACATAATGGATACAGTCACATGTCACATGATATTTGAACCTGTGATATTGCATTTCGTGTTTCTTATTTTGTATTTTTGTACAGTTAAGTTTACACCTACTTTCAATATATTTAGTTTTTATTATTTTAATGAATACGGTATCGCCTATACGTACACGTATGTGAAGATTTTCGTCTTTTATTGACTTAAAAATAAAAATGTAGTTACTATTATTTCTATTAAATTACTATAAAATAGAAAAAAAGTACTGGTTTCATATTTCAAGCTTTGTATATACGTAGCTCGGCGCAATACTTGAGAAAAATCTAGGTTAGGTTAGGTTATCTAACCTAGGTATGTATAAATGTAACTCCTTTGTCTCATATTGTGCCACACTTAGTTTTGGAAACATTGAGAAGGTCACTTTTTTAGGGAATGCTAAACTAAAAATTGACCTCCTTAAATTTTAGTTCGGGTCTTATAAAATGCATCTATGATAAGAGGCCCGAAAAATTAGCGGCACACCTGTGCTTAAATACATAGATACGCCACTGTCCAGGCAGGCGTGGCTTCAGAGACTTACCAAAGGTGGGGCCATATTAAGTATTAACTGATAATAGTTGTTTCTCCAAATTAGTACTGAGATACAGAGTTCCATCTTTACCCTATGGGCACTTGGGGAACGTGGCCAGTGCCCCCATCTGGATGGGGGCCGGCCCCCAATAATAAAAATTACAACTTTCAATTTTAATCTGTAACGTATTAATACAACTGCCTATAAAAAAATAATTCTTGATTGTAGAAAAAATTTTTTAGATAAATGTTAAAATATTAATGTTAAATAAATAATGAATGCTTAATTGTGTGTAATTGCATTAGGAATATATTATTTTTCATCCCATTATTTAAAAATATTTTTCTTTATTTTTTGGTTTACTAAAAAGACCCCCAGTCCAGGTGCCCATAGGCCACTGCATAGCTTAAAACGGCCTTGTTTATGACTTGGTATATTTTTTCGCGCAACTAAAACTATAACCTAATATGATATAAATTCAATTCATGAAATCTCAATTGCAAATATGCAAACCTATTTTGCATATTTTTGTATATTTGACATTTATGTGCATATAAATGCATATATCGATTGTTTCTAAATTAAGTAGCATATATTTTATAAATTATAATTAAAATATTAAAAATTATCCATATTATTATAAATAATTAATCATAATTTTTAATTGTATCATTTTTAGTCTACAAAACCTTCTTGTTGGATCGTCGGAGGTCCTTCAAGTTTTAAAATATCATCAAAATTATTGTTGTACAGTGTAATTCTGATACTTAAAGTACTTAACCTATGTAAAATTTTACTTTAATTGATCGAAAACGAATTAATATTTTATTTTATATATATATATTATATATATTAGCCGTGGTTTTTCTAATAAAATCATTTTAAATACACATTCAAAAGCTTATATACGTTTTTTGAATTAATATTAACTATTTTTTTTGCATATATTTGTTGAAAAAATAGGTATATTTAATAAATTTTATGGCATATAATTACATATTTTGACATTTTATAATGCATATTATATATATATATATATATGAAATTTTGGTTATTAAATCCGAGCTTCAGTTATGACTAGTAATAGACAGACATAAATGGTATAATAATAATATTAATACGTTAATTTTTATACTTCTTCATAGATTACAATAGATTCAACTAATATGAAAAGTTTACAATAAATAAAAACATGTACCTATATTCTAGATAATTATATTTATACCTATAATTATATATTCATAAATGAAAGAATGTACTGATATGACGTATAGATACAATTAAATATTATTTCACTACTACAGTAAAAAAACAGTAGTGAATAATAATATTATTATTAATAATATATTGTATATGGTATATCATGTACGGGCAACGTGTTATTCGTAAATTTACTCGAATACCACTATCACTATCACGGGATGTGATCCATTCATAAATACGGGAACACAATATGTATTTAAAGACAATTGACCGCGGCTCGAATTCAGATTTCATTTAATCGTTGAGTGAAAAAGTTTCATAAAAATGTTTGATTTATAATTTTTTTAAACTATTAATACATTTCTATATTAAATATAGAAAAAAAATTACAAATTTTGTAATCTATTTAATTTTTAGGTATTATTTAAAAAAAATAGTCTATAGCTAATTAGAACTTTACATTCTAGATCAGGAACTTTAAACAATTTTGCTAGTTGTATTTTTGTAACTTTTCTCCTTGTAACAGTCTCACATTATTATATTAATTGGAACGCTGTTACAATTTTATTTATTTATATACAAAAAATAACAAACATAACACTTTCAGGCGTTTTCAAGGTATAATGGACTCATTTAGCCATTTATAATGGCATATTAATTTACAATCAATTCACTTGATATTTAATAATTACATTTCATATGTGGAGTGGTACCGATAACCTCGTTTTATTAGCAGTATACAGCGTATCTCGATCGGTGATGTTGGTGTGTACCAACTCTGTACATGTGTTCGTAAATTCTGTTCAAATCATTAAATATCCAATAACAAATTGCTAATTGGTCATCGAATGATTTGTAACAGTGCTGTACTAATCACAGTAAAAAGCGGAACTGCCAAAACAAAGGTGATTTCTGATGTGTTCTTTTATGCTTATTTTAAGGTGTAATATCCGGGTGCAGAGAAACTAGTATCTCATTTATTTTATGTCATTTTATGTCCTATTCTGACGATATTCATCTGTGCCGATACATATGAATGCTCTTCAAATTCATATCACCATAATATTCATAAATTCAATATGTAAATCGCTATTTTATATATATATATTTTTCTATATAAATTTGTAGTTTTCAAAATTAGAATTTTTAGGATTTCAATCTGAGGCCTCTAAAAAAAAACTTGATCTTGAGGACCCGTGCATTGCATCTCCTGCACTCCCGCAAATCTGACATTGGTCCTGGGGGACGGGAAAAGGGACATAAAGAAATTCATCAACCCTTTGCCTTGTCTCCGTTGGGCGCGGTCCGAATGCGGTACAAGTCGTCACCGGAGGTAAACCGCAGGTGATAAATATTCCGATCGGAACCAGGAACGTCGGTAAAAAAATAAAGATAAAACACGAACGTAATGCGAAAATGACGTCGCGCCGTGATAAAAAAAAAATGTACACAAATGACGTGCGAAATGACGCAGATAATGTGATACGACAACGGACTACTGCGTAACGTGGCCTGCGGATAACGGACCGTTTTACCGATCACGTCACAACGGTCGCCCACCCAGTCACGTGGGACGAACGTAAACTATGCACGGCGAAGGGACAAAATTATAAATTGTGCCCAATAAATTTTGGCCGTAAATTTACACATGGTAAACTGGGCCCAACACGTTCCAGGATATGTAGTAAATTGTGCCCAGCAGATATATTATTTTTATGACGGCCATTCAGGCACCGTGAGGAGGCGATTATCATTGTCCTCCAAATAAATTTTTATTATTTTTTAATTAAATTATATGGGTGGATAAATTGAGCATGTTAAATTGTCAAAAATATTTGTTAGGTTACTTAGAGAGAAATGGAAATAATAATTGGCTCCGAGGTATGTATTTTTCGAGATATAATTTTTGTTTTACAATCGAATAGACAAATCGTACTACGTTTGTTCAAATACCTATCGAAGTATATTTCGGCTAAACTAATCATCGCAATTTTATATTCGAGTTAATAAAACTAATAATACATTGAGGATATCTAAGGGATTAAAAAAGAAATTTTTAATCAAAAAAATAATAATTGTAGAAACTTGACAATTTCGCTGAATGTGCTTCATCATTTGCACTAATTGATATGATTTTAAAAAAAATTTCACTTATTGATATTATAAAACGTTATGATTTCTTAGGTTTTTCTCTAAAATATCGATCAAATTATTCGGTTTGACAAAAATCTTAAAAATGTGATACAACTTGTCTCATACATTTTGATGAATAATACGATAAATAACTTTCAAGTGTTAAACTGCTCTCAGCTCTCATTTTATCGTCTGAATTAAATTCATAAATTGAAGTACTAAACAGATAAGAAGTACAAGTATAATTTAATGCTGATATAAGAATACTTTCAATGTATTGTTCATTTAATAACTTAATGATTCATCTCTAAAATGTTAGTTCTTCTAATGTAGTTATAATTTTAAGCCACTTTAACCAAGGTTCCGGAAACATTAATTCGCTAAAAAAATTAGTATAAGTGATCTACGTATTCTACGTAAACAATTAGAAATCTAAATAATAAATTACGTTTGTTCTATAGCACGATGAATGAATATCCCCATTAACAAGGCATTAGTGTTATCACTCAACACTTTATGAATGAATAATACTAATTGTAATTATATGTGACGTATTTACCCAGAAAAGGAAATGATTGATGTATAAATAATCATATTTCCGGTAAGAAGTGTCTAGTGATATGAGCACACTGAATATATTTAAACATTGAACATGATTCAATATCGATCAGATTCCACTTAATCACTGAATTGTATGGTAGCATACGAAAAATTAATTAATTGTTTGTTTTATTATATTTGATTGACTATATTAAAATGATTAGTTCAATAATTTTATTTTGCTTATTACCAATTATTGGAGCGGCGCTTGCACAAACTACCCTTGGTGAGTCTGAAACAACAATTATATTAATTACAATTTTAATTGTAAACAAAAGTTGAATTTTATAATATAATAATTAACCTTTTTTTTATAATTTCAGATACATCAAACCTAGTAGAAAATGATATAGTTTTCGCCGCACAAAGCACGTGCGTTCGAAGTTTCAACAAAAAACAACGGAGTAAACGGGTTGTAGGAGGAACAGAATCTCACTTAGGTTAGACATCAGAGAATGTATTAAATTTACCATTATCATAAACTTTTAGACTTTAAATATTCTATTTAATCGATTAAAGTGAAGTGAAATAAACGATATTATGGAGTATTTATGGTTTTTTTAGGTGATTGGCCTTGGATAGTAGCTCTTGGATACCAAAGTTCTGATGATAGTATTACAAAGTGGCAATGTGCTGGTACGTTAATAACAAATAAACACGTGCTGACTGCTGCTCATTGCGTTGTCGATCTTGGAAATTCAAAACTGTTAGTAATCATCAGCGTTTTACTTTTTTTAATTATGCATATTAACATTATGACGTATGATGTAGGATTACGGCACGCTTAGGTGAATTGGATTTCAATGAAGCCATCAGGGACGGATCAAAGACATTGGATGTTCCGATTAAACGAATAATAATTAACACGGATTTCGACCCGATTACAATAACCAATGATATTGCGCTATTGGTATTAAGTGAAAGTGTTTCATTTACAGGTATATCTAACAAATATATTTATGGTTTTATTATCCTAGTCTTAGTATTTTTAATTTGGTTATAAAGTATTACTTATTTATATTACGGTGTTTTTATAAAATTTAGTTTCATTTACACTTTCATTTAATGATGATTTTAGAATATATCAGACCGATATGCTTGCCAACAACATTGCAGGGTTGGGATAATGTTAACTTCGATGGTACTAGCTTGATTGTTATCGGTTGGGGCCGTACTAACAATGATAAATACTCAGGTAATAATAAATTATAAATAGTTGTCTTTTGACAAGACGAAATTTTCTCTGCTACGGGTTTTGTCAATATGTTTTAATGATAAAATATCATATATTAATTTTTATATGATCTTTCAGAAATACCAACTTCTCTGAGGGAAGTTAAAGTCCCATTAATAACTTTAGGCAAATGTAGAGCAGCGTATATCGACCAAATAAATGTGATTGACTCCACTATTATATGTGCTGGAGCAGAAGGAAAAGACGCTTGCCAGGTATTTTTACTAAATACTTGATGCTTTTTGTTCAGCGAACTGTTTTAACTTTTGTTTTCGATTAATTTTAGGGCGATTCTGGAGGCCCGCTAATGTTCCAAGAAAACGATCAATATTATTTGATGGGCGTAGTTTCATATGGACCTAAAGAGTGTGGGAAATCAGGTCGGCCTGGAGTGTATACCAGAGTGACATCCTTTAGCGATTGGATACTAAAAAAAATAAAAGAACCCTAAAGATTTTTGTAGATATTTTATGATTCGAACAAATCTATGAATTTCTTGACTCTTTTACCATGCGACCGATGCAAAATGTCCATTATCTCCAGTACGGCCTAGTTACGGGGTATTAGAATGATTGGCCGTCGTCTTCATAAGTTGAATCATCTCTTGTCATGTATGCGTGTCGTAATGTCATATATGGTGGAATACCATTTTGAGTAACTTTTAAAAGATGAGCAAAGAATATACGTATGAAGGATTATTATTACGGACTGGATTATTTAAGAAGTAATGAAAACTATGAGATTGAAAATGATTATTTTAGTTTTATCTTGAGTAACATTTAGTTTTATAAGAAATATCTTTGTATAACCATATAATCATGTCAATTTATGTATAATACGAGAATATTATGTACTACGTATAATCATGGAATTCAATATTTATTCAAAGAAATTAATAGTTTACTAAAATTTGAACTTTTTCAAATGTTGATATTTTATTGTTTTAAAATAGTTAATAATTGTATTTATATAATAAAAAATCATACATTTTCTTTAATTTTATACCCAAATTATTCACGTGAATAAATGAGTACTATCGATGTTTGTGTATATTTTGGGAAGTACCATATGAAAGTGTTGTGACATCATACAAATATTAGTAAGATTATGCTCATAATAATCAATCGAAACATCATAAACTAACTGCTTTTAAGAAGGGTAAATTATACTACTATACTGTCTATACTTGAACATATGAACGTATGACGTCCGAAGAAATGAGTGCATACAACATAATTTGCATTAATCAAACAGAAATGATATTTTTTAATAATTTATCCAAAATAATTATAATGATAAAAATAGTTTATTCAGCTCAGGATTATATGCTTATAAACTTATATATATACAATTCAGATAATTTTACTGAGTTGATACCCTTCTCTTTAAAAAAGCTTGTAATTATGAGGGAAAAATCTTAAAATTTTAATTGAAATAATAATTTTTTTTTTCTTATGTACAATTAAATTGCTTATTAATTATTTAAATAAAAATAATATCATGATGGATATAACAATAAACATAATTACAATAAAATCAATGCAATGGTAATAATAATATAATAAATAACATGATTATAGAAGTCCCATGAATATTATAACCCCATTTTTTAAATTTAAATTAAATCAATACAAATAAAACAATTTTTATTGAAATAAAGTTCAATAAATGTAAAGTGATTTGTTGCGAGCTATTGGTTAATTGTACACAATAGTTATTATCGTATAGTACAATAGTATAAATATTTATATTATATTAATTTTATTAAGAATCAAAAATTCTAACATGTCTACAATTATTGTATGGTTTTTATTTTAAATTTCTAAACATAAGTTTAAAAAACATTATGTTCCCATTGTATTCGTTTGTTCAACCATCAGTTACCAGTGCATTAGTGTATAAATGTACATATATTTATATATAAAAAAGAATAGGCCTTTTTTTATGTTCCAATTTTGTGACGACATTATTTAACATTTTTCCAATTTTTTTTTTTTCACAGATTGGTTACAAATACATTCTTGAGTGACCCAATTTTTTATTTTTTATTGTTGGAGGGGAGCGAGAGGGGGAATTGTATATTTATGTTTCATTGTTGTGACGACACTATTTACAATTTTTATAATATAAAATATATACATAATATTATAGACATCGATGTGTAGAAAAGGCGATAAGCAATAAGGCAATAACGAAAAACCACGGGAAACAGATTTTTATAAAAAATATTTAGTTGCCCTGAATTGTTATTTATTTTGCAAAAGTTAAGATAATCAAATTTGATGCAATATTTATAACAATGATATATTTATATCAAATTGAGAACCATGTGAACAATCTTTTTACTTTTTCATAATTGTATTTATTTAATATTTTTTTTCTGCAACTTTGAACAATAATAGGCCCCCTAGCCAAAGGCCCGTGGCATTTGCACACATGTATGACATGCCATTGTTTACAACGATAATAAACAAAACGCAAAGATAGACTTTAACTTATTGTGGTATACATATGGAAAATAATTGTTTCTTGCATGGACAATAATATGTAACTTTTTTATAAAGTTGAAAAACCTGACCATTTATATGTTTATACACCACAAAATAAAACTCTGAATGTGGTATACTAAGAGGTTAACTATCAATACTGAGATTAAAGCTAAGTGCGAAGTTACCTTTAGCACGTTTAAAATGCACATGATCGTTGGATTGAGAAACCGGCGCTTACATTGAGCATACCACAAAAATATTTTTGGACAAATTCTACTGTCACCTTGGCTAGGCTTGGTCAACTGCGGAATCAAGTAAATGGAATACATTAGTTGCAAATCGAGTCAGCGAAATTCACACATTGACAGGGCGTTAGGAGTGGGAACATGTAATATTGAACAGCTGATGTATTATCACTAGGATATCATAAAATGAATCAAGAAACAACATGCTACAGTAGCACGGTCCTAAATGGTTAGAAATAAAAATGAATTTAAATGTTCAACAGCATAAACCGCAAAGTCGGAACGTATAAATGATATTCAAAATAAAGCGAAAATTATGCATATAAACGTATACTCATTAGAATAAAAATGGGTGCGTCATATAATATCGACATATATTATGTCCGTCAAGTTGGCACCGGCACATTATGCTAGAGTTATGTAAATGGTATCAAAAAGTTTGCTAGGAATTTGCTAGATTTTGCTAGGGCATTTTTGGATTTTGCTAGGGCCCCTAAACTTTGATAATCCGCAAACAAATATGCCGGTGCTATCTTTGTGGGCGCACCGGCACTATGTTCGATTTAAAAAAAAAATATGTCAAATTATTCAGCTGAATTTGCTAGATTTTGCTAGGGCATTTTTGGAATTTGCTAGGGCTCCTGTCGTCCAAGGGGGAGGTTCCAAATTTGGCATCAGCACCGGCACGTTGTCCGATCTTAAAAAAAAATATGTCAAATTATTCAGCTGAATTTGCTAGATTTTGCTAGGGCATTTTTGGAATTTGCTAGGAGGTTTAAATCGGGGTACATATTTTTAAATATTTCTATTTGGCTAGGAGCTTTTAAAAATATCTTTTTGACTGTAGATATTAATTTACCTACTTTTATCAATTTAGATCGTATGGTTTCTGCTATTCCGTACTAAACACGTTAAATGGATTATTTTGGAGGAAAAGCATTTAATTTGTTGAAATATGTAGGAAAAATGGAATTATTAAAAAATATGTAAAATCATGTACTTATGGCAAAATATGTAAAAATTTGTAAAATAAAATATAATTAATTTCAATGGAAACCCTTTGAAACAAATTTATCACTAATTTAAATTAATTTATCAAATCACAGAAAAAATATGTATTTACATATAAATCCGAGCCCTAGTGATTAATGTATGCAGTTATTAGGTAGATTATACTATGTATAATACGGAGTTCGTTACTACTCATAGTAATCACATATTAACATCACATTTGTAACTTCACTCAACCTAGCGTTAATCATCCGTATTCCTTTCTATGTAGTCAATAGGCACTTATTTGTAATTTCTCAACTATCAGTGTGACAACTATGCATCTACTATGCTATAGGATTTTGACTATATATATATATTTTATCATATACATTGTATATGCCTACAACGGAATCATACTTCTCCCATTTTAAGTTTCTGATTTTTTACAAATATTTCAGTTCTATAACGAAATAAAGATATATTAACAGTACATTTTAATATTGAATATATTTTACAAATTTTTTATGTGTAATTTACAAATGGTTGAATATAAACTAGGATATGTGGAGTTATATATTTTTGTTCCGACACTTTTCTTGTTTTTTTTTGAAGATCGTCGTGTAATTCCCATTCATTTTTGCTCCTTATATATACTATATAATGTCTAACAGTTCTTTTTATATCAGTTATTTTATTTCCAATAAATCCGACGATTCCCAATAAATTGTACCTTAAAAATGATCATCAATTTTAATTAAGTTAAATACTCGTTTTAAAATATACATTGATTTTATGATTAATTTTGTTTATAATTAGAATTTACAAGTAAAGCAATTATCTAGAAATAAATTCATTTTATTAATTTTAATTATGTAAAATAGGTATTAAAATCTTACTTGCATCTGTTTATTGTTAAATTTATGGGGATTGATGCTAATGTACAATTTTCTTGTCCATAGTATCCCATAAGGTCTATTTCAATAAAAATATTTGGCTCTGTTACATACTCTATTTGTACGTTTTTTGTACAAATATTACAGACATCATCATTTTGAGAATAGTATTTATTTAATTCATTTTCTAATGATTCCCTTGTAAATCCATTTTTTACAATGACTTGCATATTGGGGCTGAGTAAATCTATAGGATTTTTTTTTATTGGACACTTAGAGCATTTAATTATTTTTATGATTGACGATACTTTAAATCGTTTCAGTAGATTTTGAATGTTACATTGAGCATCAAAACATTGAATTCCACAAACTGAATTACTTGAAACTTCTAATAAACCATATAATTTTAATAGTTCATATCTTTTTCTATATTCTGATTTAAATGCACCATGAATGGCTATTGACTTACAAAATTTGAAAAGCTCATTTTGTGAATTTTCGATATAATTTAAGTTTAGGGGCCCTAGAAAAATCCAAAATTGCCCTAGCAAATTCAGCTGATTGATTTGATATATTTTTTTTTTAAATCGGACAACGTGCCGGTGCTGATGCCAAATTTGGAACCTCCCCCTTGGACGACAGGAGCCCTAGCAAATTCTAAAAATGCCCTAGCAAAATCTAGCAAATTCGGCTGAATAATTTGACATGTTTTTTTAAGATCGGACAACGTGCCGGTGTTGATGCCAAATTTGGAATCTCCCCTTGGACGACAGGAGCCCTAGCAAATTCCAAAAAATGCCCTAGTAAAATCTAGCAAATTCAGCTGAATAATTTGACATATTTTTTTTTTGAAATCGAACATAGTGCCGGTGCGCCCACAAAGATAGCATCGGCATATTTGTTTGCGGATTTTCAAAGTTTAGGGGCCCTGGCAAAATCTAGCAAATTCCTAGCAAATTTTTGATATCATTTATATAACTCTAGCATAATGTGCCGATGCCAACTTGACGGACATATATATATTCGTTGTTGAATAAGTTATCGAGAGTTGTTGCGTATTCATTATTATACAAGGATATTTAATTATCTAAACGTAATAATCGTTAATAAACAATCATTAGTAAAATTGATACAAGGCATACATTTTTCATCGGAAATTAAAGTTTTAAAAAATAAATATTTAAATTGCAGTATCGTTTCCGTAAAATTAACATAT